TCTCATGCTAGTACCTCTACCAACCCAAGAAGATCCGATGATGTTGACAGCTGGAAGCAAGTCTTGTTGCTGTTCCATTTCTTTGTTATCATTTGCGTGTCAGAAGGGAAAGGCAGTGACTTGTTCCACAATATAAGAAATATCTTCTAGGGAGCCAGTGCCAACCTTGGCAGCTAGGGAGGGTGTATGATAAAATGGCAACAGCTGCATGTGACTTTATGTTCTCACAGGGCCCTTGTCAGAACTTTGTAATCTTGCAAACGCCTTACAGACTGATAGCATTAAAAACTGCATCTCCATAGAAGTAACATGCTCAACTTAGGCCCTAATTGTCAAGTCACATTCATTAGTTATAATTCATGTGTCTTTGCCTTCCTTGGGAGTCATCATCACCTTATGATTGAAGATAATTTCACTACGGAATTGACAGGAAGGATATTTTTCTTTTAATCATTATTACCAAACTGTCTGATCAGAATATTCTCACTTCCTGTGGAAGAAAAACAGACTGGCATGGCAACTGCAGAGGAGACCAGCATATCTGCCCTCCCTCCCAGACAAGAAGCACAGACAGAAAGGTCTGAAAAAGGAACCAGCATTGACATTGCTCCTCACTTGTCCTTTTCTGCAACACCAGGGCTTTGAAAGCTCAAGCCCATTTGTGTTCAGATCTTCATTACTTGTCTCAGTGAAGAACCTCTGCAACTGTGCAATAAACAAAGATATGCTGAACAGTTTTGGAAATACAGGACTAGGCAACTAAGAGAGGGATCTTCAAAAAGTGTCACAGTAAGTGGGATGTTGTTTACCAGTAGAAAATGGCAGGAAGAGGAGCAGCTGCTCAGCTCTGGTTGTTGCAAAGAGCTATTTACCTAGCTCAGTGATGGTGGTAAGGCAATTTTTTCTGTTCCAGATACTGGAGTGAGTCCGATAAAGGGACATGAAGATGAATAAGTGATTGGAGCATATGTTGTACAAGCAGAGGCTGAGGGAGCTGGGACAGCTCAGCCTGAAAAAGCAAAGCCTTATAGGGAATCTTACTCATATATATGAACACCTGAAGGGAGGCTGTAAAAAAGAGAGAAACAGGATCTTTTCACTGGTACCCAGAAAAAGGGTAAAAGGAAATGGGAACAAATGGATTAAATTTCATCAAACCACAACAAAAAACGTTTACAATGAGTGTGCTTGTACAGAGCAGGTTGCCTAGAGAGACTGTGGCATTTACATGTGGAGATATTAACAAAAATAGACATAGTTCTGGTCGAGTTGCTGCCATTGACTCTGCTTTGGGGTGGTAGTGCTTGGACTGCATGAACTCCAGGGGTCCCTTTCTATCATCTCAGCAATTCTATGGTTCTGTGATGAGCCAAAGACACAATAATTCCAAGCCTTTTAGGCAGCAATGAAATCTCTTTTCTGACATTTTCATTTAGCCTAAGTAATAAAATGGTCATTAGATGACAGAAAAAATGAGAAAAATCATGACTATAGCCAGAGGGTTAGGGTAAGTCAGGTTGAAATTTCTTGCTTCACATAATATTTCATAATGATATGAAGTATAACAGGTTTTGAGAGAAGTTCTGAGGAAGAAAAATATTTTTTCAGAACACCAACTGCTTGGTGATAAGGAAATTTTCTGCAATATTAGAAAAGATATTTAGGTTCAGATCTATATCTCCCACATGCCAGCTTATTGCTCCAGTACTGGAAATATTAGGTACCAGTCATCACTCAGAAATGTAATGATTTTGGGAGGGAAATGAGTGAAGATTAGACCAGAACCTGTGGGTTTGATACATGTGGGAATCTGTCAGAACATGATTCACAAAAGAAATGAAAACAGTAAAAGAACCTCACATGTATGTACACATACATATTCTTGCCTATGCAATTGTGAGCAAAAACAATGTAGAAAATCAGAGGCAATACCTGAACAATCATTTTATCCTAACTTGAATTTGATTGTAAATGAAACCTGTGGAAGACACTGCTCAAAAGACCTATGGATTCCACCTAGGGGAAAAAAGATGAAGTCTTCTTTGGATGAAAATGAAAGAGCTGTGAAATACTCATTTGGCTGACCTCCAGATGCCTGTAAAAAGTAAAAAGACCTTGCAGATAGCTTGGAAAGCTTGAATCTGTCAAAACCCCACACAACTACTGTGAACTGAGGTTCTGCACAACTTGCTGAACAATAGGGTATTGGCAATTTTGCATGATGGCCAGAAACAGACTATAATGCCCAGTAGGGCAAGGAACATTCAGTACTGTAGTTGGGGTTAACGAGAAAGAAGTGAACACTCAGACCAGATACCATTGACTCCTGACCAAAGATGAATCCAGAATCCCATAAACATCACTGAAAGAGTTACACACTTCAAAGGGAGCACATAAGAAAGGGCATACTAAGTCAATGATGTCCTAGGTATGCTTTTATCTGAGACAACTGAAACCCATATTATAGAGAACTATGCAACTGAGGTGGTGGAAGTGATATGAGAAAGACTCCAGACTCAAGTTTAATTTATACCCATGCAAAGGAAAGAAAAAAGGTTCATTGGACTAACAGAAGAATGCAAACATGAACATGATTCTGTAATTTGGTGTCTAGACACTCCTGTGGCATGGGGGATACTTACATCACAGAATATTTTCACCTTTAAAGGTCTGGAATTTCCCTGAAGTCTTTTGGAAATAAAAACGCAGCAAGATCCAGGGCTTTGGGAAGAACATTTTATTGCTAAGCATATCTTTAAACAAACTGCAACTAAGAGAAGAAAAAGAATCAAAAAGAAGAAGAAAAACAAAGGAAAAAGAAAAGCAATAACATCACGATAACTCAAATAAAAATTCTCCAGGTTGTCCATAAAGCAACAGGGATATGGTAGTAGCCCACATACAGAAATGCACATGTTCCCAAAAACTGTCCAATAGAAACTTACACAAAAAAGGAAAGTGTAAATATTTTTCCTTTAACTTAAAAAAGGAAAGCAAAAAGGAAAGGAAGAAAGAAAGCAGGAAATCATTTCACAAGACTCCAAGACTCCAAGAACAGCAATCTTTTACAGACATCAAGATATAATCAACTTTTATATAGTTTCGGCCAGTTAAGTCATCTAAAATCGTGCTTTCATACCTTTTTAAAACCTGTCTTTTTTTTCTTTTTAGTATAAAAAATAAAAAAGAAAAAAGCTCAACCTCACACACACACACACGCACCACACACACGCACACATACACGCACTGAAAATATTTCTTCACATGAAAGTGCCTTCTCTAAGTGTTTGAGAAGACTGTTTTTCTGAATTTAAGTTCCCATGTGCGTGTGTGTATCTGATGAAACTTCTTCAAAGTCAAATATTCATGCGACTTATAAACACCAGCAAGAGTAGATTTCTAAACCTAAACAGCTGATTAGTTTTCATCCGCATACAGCAAAAGTTTTCATTTCTGATATCCCAGGGTTCTCAGCCCGTCTTGGTTTCTGTTGTTTTCCACTCTGTCTCTCTCTCCCTCATCTACTTTTTTGCACATGACAGGCATGGCCGTCAAACCACCTCACTATTGTTCTGTACAGTAAGATAATCCTTTTCACAATAACTGGGAAAAAGTAGAAACCAAACAACCAAATTAAATAAGTTAAATAAAACATAAGACATTCCCAATTTAACCATAAAACAGTATATACACCATTAGGGTATCCATATAGAAATTATACTAGCAAAAAAATAGTAGTAAAATATGTAAACAAAATTTCAGGTTTTTTTTTTTTTGACACAGGTAACTGTGACAAAGCTAAAACACACGCTCCCTTCACATTTTAAGGTTTGCTTTTGTTGTCTGTTTCTTTTTACTCTGTTCTTCAAGAACATTCTCATTCTGGATTAAGACCATAACAGAACTTCTGTTCCAGCCGTCCCATCAAACATACCATGATAAATATATCTGTGTGTATATATATATATATATTAAATTATTAAATTAATTTTTCTTTATTATTTTTTGTGTGTCACAGCAGCTTTATTTATTTTCTTTTATATAAAAGAGAAGGAAAAGGGAGAATAGGGCAAATGGAAAGACAGAGATGATCTGAAATGTCAAGCTACAAAATTAAAATATTACATATGAAAAACAGTTATATGTCAAAAACTATGTAATTTGCATTCTTTTACAAGTGTTTAGCTTTTCTGATGTTCATTGGTCTTATCACAAGTTGAACTCCAGTGGTGTCTTTCTGATCACTTTATTAAACTGATTTTTTTTTTTTTTTTGCATGCATTGCAATGTCACAGAACCAGATCCCAGAGGAAGGTTCCTTTACTTTTGCACAGTATATTCAGTTCAGAACAGTTAATAACTTTTAAGCATTCTTTTTTGAATCTCCGAATCCCTTTAACCATACTTTGGTTGTCAAATGCATACTGAGTGCTATACTCAAATAAAGCCAATGACCGATCAGAACAGATCCAAACCCATCTGCTCTTCAGTTCAATTACAAATTCTGGAGCCAGATCCAAGAGAACCAGCTTTCCAAGACAATTTCCCTCAGCACCACTCATCAGACAGTTTCACTGCATTGTTAGCAAACAACTTACTACTAGATGACGAATTCTAGAGACAATACAACCAGATATGCAGAGTAAACACCATGGGTAGCTTTTGAATTCATATACGGTAATAGTCTCTCTTTATTTATTATGGATTTTTTTTCCGAGATTTCTTCTCATGTCCTGGGTCACCCCCCACATCATTCCACTCCACTCTTCCCTCCCTCACCAAAAGTAACCAAAGAAACCAAACAAAAAGCAACCTAAGAAACAAAACAAAATCAAACCAAAAAACCAACAATCTCCAAACTCATTTATTCCCCTCCTCCAATCTCGAAAAGTTATGTGTATGCTGGACACGGCCAGATCAGTTTGTTCAATATATCTTTGTTGTTTAATAACGTTTATATTTTTTTTCTTTTTCCTTCATTTTTTTTTTTTTTAAATAAGTAAACTGAAAAATTATTGGTACAGTCAGGGATCACGAACATTGTTAAAGACTCACTTGGAGATATGAAACAAGTAAGCCATGAAGTCTTCTACCTTTGCAGAAAGTTCAGCGGAGGAGGAGATTTGGAGATGTCCAAGTTCACTAACAGAGCAGAGCTGTGTGCGCCATCTCCAGAACGCTAAGTGTGCTTTATAATACATTAGGGTAAAGTTTGCTGACTCCAAGTGATGACTTAGACATTAACAGTCACTGCTGAAATTTTTTCCCAATACTTTTTCCCACAAACGATATCTCCCAATCATCTCGTTCGCTGCAATGGTTCTGATATCTCAGTTAAATCTCATTAAGTATTTCTATATTTATATATAAATAATTATTCTTTTTTTACACATAATACTCTTTGTCCTTGTTTTTCTGCTTCTTGTGGCCGCTCTTTGAGCTCTGCTGCTTCTCTTTCACGAGCGTGCCGTTGCTCTGGGCTGAGTTGCTGATGTAGTTCCGCGTCTCGTCCACCTGATAGGACCCCTCGTCCCTGTTCCTGTACTTGTACATGGCGTACAGGAGGATGAGGATGCAGAGGGCGGCAGCAGCCACAATGCCGACGACCATCCCCGTTGTGCTGCTCGACTCACGGACCACCTCTGAGGCCCCCGGAACCCGTCTGATTCCCGGCTCCGTGGGGTTTGCTGTGGGCACATTACGGAACATGGGGGAAGTGATTAGCGGGCTCTTCAGCTTTGTGCTGTCTAGCTCATAGGCAGTGGGCAACGGAAGCAAGACTATGTCAGGCTGGGGTTTGAGCTCACGGTTATTCATTTTGCCAGCTGGCAATTTGGGAATCATCACAGTCGAGGACGAAGCTGTGGAGCGGATCAGCTCAGGGGACAAAGACGTGGTAGTAGTCCTACCAGTTTCGGAGACTTTGTTAGGTCTAAAGTCCTTGGATTCCCACTTGGGTGCGTGTGCTTTGTAGCCACCTTCGAAGATTGAAGTGGAAAGACTCTTATCTGTTACCAAGGAGAAGGTGGTGTAAAAATCTTCATCATCAGTAGGGGGTAGGTTAGAGTCAAAGGTTTCCCCTGAGCCATACCCAGATATCACCAAGCCATCATCATCACAACCATCGCTGCCTTGGTCCGACAAGCAAGGTAACCCCGCCTCAGAGGTCATGGACAGGGAATCTTTGGTGGTCTCAATAATGGTGAGGAGGGGGCGAAAGGTAGGGGGAAGTGTAATGAAAGGTGCACGAGTAGCAATAGGAGGGATATCTAAAGGGTCTTCTACAAGTAGAGGGATAACTAATTCACCTCCTGGGATGGAAAAGAGAAAAAAAAAGAAGATTAGTACATTTTAATGACACAATGCATCATTTTCAGTTCACTAAAGGGTGAGAGAGGATCTGGGCATTATGAAAAGTTGTCAGGGATCAGCTTTCTCTCTCTCTAGCTACACTACCAACATACTTTCCTGGGGCTGCCTTTCATTGTTCCCTCCCACCCAGCTTGGACATTGGTAAAGTGAATGCTCCATTTCCTACCTATGCTAGGCATGTACAGTGAAATATCCTGAATTTTTACAGATCCAATTTTTTTTTATATTTGGAGATACTCTCAAGTGACTCTGTGGTCATAAATTTTTGGTAGTGATCTTTTTCAAGCATTTGGTTACAAGACTATTTAAACTAATTACTTTAGACTGCCATAAGCCAGTGTTCTCCTAGATATATTTTACATCACTCATCTTGCCAGTTATTCCTTTTCTGATTATTTTCACTTAAAATAACAGTGGTATTTCTTCTCTGCCATTCTAATATGCTCACCCTCTGTAGCAGTATATAAGTCCTTTTCCTAAGGTGTTTTCCATTCATACATTTCTTCCTGATCATTGTCTGGCTTTTAAATTGTGGGAAGGCTCATGAACGTGAGGGATGGAATAAGAACCAAGTACTTACTGGGTCCATGAAGATACAGAGCTCTACTCAGTTTTCATCTCTTTTTACTCTTTCTTTAGCATTCTGTTTGACACTAGGAATGTCCCTTTCCTTGCATCTTTTAGGGCTACTAGTGCCATGCTATCTTCATCTTCCATTCTTCTTGATATTCATTTACTATAATTTGATTAAAAATTAAGATAGATTTTATCGTGATTGACAAAATAAACTGAATAAGGACTTTGATGTACCAAGTTAGCACCTGAGCCCAGGATTGTACTGCAGAAGTTGTCTTCACGCCTACTGTTACTTCTTGACAGGCAGACAGCTGCAATCAGTTCCACTGATTTCTAACGTGATGGTTACCTGCCTACAGAGGGCTGAAAACAAGGTGGACTTATGGTCTCCTCTTCAAGCAGAACAGTAAAGCTATAGATGTAACATTTGTACCTTACAACAAAATAAGCTGCAAATGAAACAAGAAAATCAGTGTATCATTTCTGTGATTTGGATTCTGAGCAGCAATATTGCTGATTTTAGAGTAATAGCCTTGTGTTGTCTCTATATCATAATGTGACTGCACTTCTACTTTTGAGTCTATGGTAGTTAACACTCCACTGTTTTATATTGTGGACTAAAAAAAAAAAAAAAAAGGTGTGGCATCTTATGAATTTATCTAATTCCTCTACCTCTGGTTATATAGTCTTCTGTTGATCTACAGGTCATCAACCATTTTTTTTAGAGTGAACTATATTGATTTTGAAAGTTTGTGTACAAATTTTCATTTGGGTAATTTTTCTTCGCTTAGCCATGTAAGTAAGCAGCTTAAAATATAAATTGAATTGTTGAGCTGACATAATGAGAATCACCTAGATCTGTTCAAAGGAGTGCAACTCAGTAAGAAGATTACTAATGCATAGGAAATTTTGATTTATACTGACCATTGCTTAAGGAGCACATATAAAAGGAATTGTAGTTTCTAAATAAATAATTCTGGGTTTTAGTTATGTATTAATATCTGCCAATGAACAGTTTGGCCTTGTTACAATGCCGAATTCATCAGGGTCAAAAATTCTACTTTCTCAAATCTACCGCATATATTACATGCATTTGTTTCCCATTGAATTCTACCAGTGGAATGTCTATAAGGAATATTGTCTAAAATCAAAATACCATCTAAATGTATTTGGAGAGCACTATATTTGAACAAATTACACAAGGGAGATAGAAATATACTGAAAAAGGTATTTAACACTTTGATTAAATCTGGATAGCTGAAATAGCAACATGGCTTATTCTTTTCCTTAATGGGAAACTAAGTGGTGACACAGTTTAATCAATTGAAACAGTTGGAATTCTCTCAGAGGTACCAGGGCAGAAATTGTGCCAAAATAAGAAATGTGGTAGTTTGCATACTTTCATGCAAAGCTAGTTTTAAGTTAAGATACAAAGGGACAATTTGAACATGTTGTTTAGTTTTCTGAGCTTCCTCAGTATGTTCATATATCTCTTTGGTTACTGCAGAGAGACTGAAGAAATAAGTATCAATGTCACTAAACTACATGCTTTCAAAAAATTATGTAAAAAAGCCTACAGTGTCATCTGCCAAATGGCTACACTGCATTTTGTGCTCACTTATCTGAGCTGTTTTCTGAGCAATGCAGAAACTAGAGCATGTAATATGATTTATATATGTCCAGAAGGCGTATCCATGGCTTGAGTAGAGCATCTATAATCTATTCAAACAGGTGGTCTCAGGATGAACTTGGAGTATGCCTTGAGGGGAAAGATCATCTGTGAGCCTGGTAAAAAAAATTAATAAAAAACCCAGAATTTAAGTGAGGATTGCAACAAATGGCATAAGTCTGGAATTTAAATTCCAGAAAGTCAGGGATAGATAGTGTTCCTTTAAACAGTTTTTTAATATCAGTGTTTTACTGTTCAATTGCAATACTCATCTGTGATTTTCATTCATCATCTGTGACACTCAACTGGAAAAACAAAAGTTTGTCAGCTTTTAATTGCTCATCTGGAGCCTTGAAGTGCCTTTGTTCTTAAAAGCTATTTTACTGGCCAACAGCATCAGTATGTAGTGATCTGCCACCCATTGGAGCAATATTTTGGGTAGCTTTTGTCCAAAAATAAGTTATTTTGGTCCTCTTAATGATTAATTTTCTGGAAGGAATCAGACATTTCTTACATTTAATATGTATTTATCCTTTTACCCCAGTAACCTTTGTATTTAAAAGCAGGTCATAGTTATATAGTTTTTGTTGCTATTGAGGACTTGAGATAATGATCAAGCCTGCTGGAACTGTAAAAACAATCACAGCCATCTTGAGATATTAAGTAAACTTGATAGACTTGCTATGATAAGTTGGGTTTTAAATAAGTGATGGAGAAAATAATGGAGCTTTTCAATGCCAGCAAGTCTGTTAGATGGAAGGCAATAAGAGTCAGAACTAAGTTTTACAAAGCTTTCATCTCCCAATGTACATGAGGAGAGAAATAACTTTCATATCAGGAGCACTGGATTAATTTTTATTCAATTATTTAATCTTATCACTAGTTTTCATTCCAAATTGTCCAAATGACCCACACTATGGTTACTTGCATACTCAAGAAATAGCGACTGTTTAAGGTCCTTCCTTAGGAATCACTTTTCCATCAAGGAGTTAATTTGTTACATTTACTTTTGTGGGGTATCAGGTAGATGCAAAGGTGCTAATAATGTTTTGATTTTAGATTTTTTTATTGTCTCTAATAGAAGAAACTGAGGCCAAAAAAGGCTGTGTGACAATAAATAAGAAAAAGCACTTTAGGTATCAAAGCTGGCTTCTCTTTTATTGCATTGTTAGGCATCTATGCAAAACTCACAGCAAACTTGAAGCTCTAAGTTTAACAGGATGCAAGCACAATGAATACTTCCTGGGGTGTGCGATTTATAGGGGAATAAAAACATCCTTAAAAATGGCAGGATAAAAATGCCACTTAGTCTAAGAGGAATGTGTTATTTAAGGATAACAGGGAATGTAAATCATGAAAAGTTCCCAAGACAGTGTCAGAAATATGATCACCAGTACCCATGGAGCAAGTGCAAACTTTCATATCATACCTGCAAGCAACTCTGTAAGAGGTACTACATTTCTACAGGTAAGAGGCATGAGAGGGAGTCTGGTGACCAGCAGATTGTGAGTGTGTGTATAGGGGAATCATCTTTCACAGAAGAATGGCTGAGGGTGGAGTAAGCTGCCTGGAGCCAGTGGTCCTTTGATGGTGGAGTACTGATGCCTTTTGCCCAGGCCCCACGTCAGATTATAGGTGAACAGTGAAAGATTTAAAAAATTAAACAGCCACTTGGTTGTCAAGAATATCTTATGCAGGATTTGGATCCTGAATGGTTTGCTGGGGAAGGCAAATGTTTTATAGGCAAATGTTTTATAGGCAAATGTTTTAAGCCTCTAGAAAGAGCTAGAGGAGCCCCTGAAAAACCTTACATGACAATTTTGAAGGGAAATATGTTTGAGAGAGGTTTTATGTTTGTCAAATTTTCTTTTCTCTTCATGATGTCTACCCATTTTTCAATTGCAAAATTAATGCTTTGCAGCCTTGAATAAAACTTACAGGTTTCAATTTCCAAATTGCTGTGTGGTACAGAAAAAAAAAATAGCAGCAAGGCTGCAACGCTGTTTGGGCCATGGCTTTCAAACAAATATTCATGTAAGAGTTAGATTCTACTTGTGAGTGATAGAGGCTGTTTCCTGGTAGTTATAGGTTTCTCTCCCCCTCTTTTTCTGTTGGCTGTTAAGCACTAGTTAAAAGTGTTCACTTGTATATGCTTTGAGTTCACTTTAGCACTTTAGTTCACTTTGTGCTTTGAGGTTACTTTAGCAATCCAAAGATTTGACAAGGATTTTCCAGATTTATTTTTCACCTACTTTGTGCTTTCTCCCCTAAGCAGGGAATAGATATTTCTTGAATATAAATATGTGTTTTAGAAAGCTCCTCTTGACAACACAATGCCAAAGAACTAAACAAAAGAGAAACAAATAAAATTGTTTCCTCTGCCGTGACATAGATGCCAAATGCATCGACAGTGTAGATGAAAAAAAACCCCAACCCCAAAAAACTTAACACCAAACTGGAAGGAGCTCTGAGAGAACTGAAGTCTGTCAGGTGGGGAATCTTATACCAAACAGCCCAGTGGTTCGCTTGGCCTTCTCATTCCAGAAAGTGTGCATATATTAATTAAAAATTAGCCTTTTAATCTAACACACATATACTACTTTCATGGAGTTGTGCTTTTCTTTAAACTACCAAGAGAACTGGGGATATAAAAGGTCTGTTTAAGCCCTGGAGCTGCCCTGCTTTTTGCTTTAT